TTGTTACGTCCGATTTTTATGGGAACGCGTATCTCGCTGGGAGACAAGGAAAAGTGGGAGGGTAGGGTGGTTAATGAGAAGCGCTATCTTGGAAGAACGTAATTATATTATAAACTAGAGATTTATGTACAGTAGGAAGGGAGAGAGATGACACACACGAAAAAGAAAAAAAAAGAGAAACAGGGGCAGCATTAAAGTAGCGCGGGCATGTCCTTCTCCCGGTGTGGTCTCCTGGGCCGTTTCACGAGTCGGACCTTCTGGGGGAGGGCCTCTATCCTCACGACGCAGGGTCTAGTCTTGCGAGGGGCCAGGCTTGGTTGCAGGGCCTTCGGTTCTGGCGGGGAGTTCTTCGTCGGTTCCGCCGGTGGCGCAGGTGGCGGGCTGACCAGGCTGGCCCTTGGGGGCCTAGGTGCGGGGGTGATCGGCGGGCGCGGAGCCCACGCCCTGACCGGGCAAGGGTCCGGTGGCCTGTATGGTGGTGGGAGGTGTGGATAGCAGGGGGTTAGCGGAGGGTTGTTGGGTGAAGGAGGGTGAAACGGGAGCGTGGGTTTTTCAGGCTCTAGAGGCCTGTCAAAGGTCCTGGGGTCAAAGATCCCAGGGGTAGCGTACGCTCGTGTTAGTCGGCGGAGCTGGACTAAGCGTCCAGCTCGTCGCGATCTGCCCATTTCTGGGAGTGCCTGCGGGAAGCATCTCGAATTAGCAGTGTTATAAAGTGGGGGAAGCAATACATGCTGTTAGTCATAATGGTGACTAGTGCTAATTTACTATTAATTAATATAAATCCCTTAAATCGGCACTCAGAGAAAGGTAATTGTTTCAAAGTCGCGGGGGTGAAGTGAGATTGAGGCTTCAGACGCTGTCTTTTGTAGAATGCTCAGATGGATTCTTCGATTATAGTAATCGATTCATTGCCGTCATCACTGCATTCTTGGCACTTCTGTGTATATAATTGTAGTAGGGGAACCCGAGAGTGAGTAATTTGACTGCGGTTAACCTTAATCTGAAAATGGAACGAGTAAGTGGCGAATCAAAAGTGCTTACGTTAACTACTTCATCAAACCAAGAGAAATAACTAAAGTTCATAACAATTAGAAAACGTAAGATCGGTAAGTTTCGCTGTGTGCCAATCTTAGAATGAGATTCCGTCTGTTCGAGGGGACTCTGTGAAATTGTCCCGAGAACGCGCGGGAACGGAGGTTGGTTAAGCCGGAAAGGTCCCCCTTTCTTTTGCGGGGTTCAGACCTGGTGACTGGTGTCGACGACGTGGAGGAGATTGGTGAGGACTGGCGGCTCAATGCCAGTTCGAGGAAAGGTGGTGTTTTCCCGCCGGAGGAACGCCGTTACGAAGGCGCGCAACCGATGGGGGAGAACCGGAGGAACGCCATTGGAGGCGCGCAACCGGGGGTGGAAACCCGGAGGAACGCCGATGGAGGCGCGCAACCGGAGGCGGAAGATCGGAAGAACGCCGATGGAGGCGCGCAACCGGAGGCAGAAAGCCGGAGGAACGACGATGAAGGCGCGCAACCGGAGGCAGAAAACCGGAGGAACGCCGATGAAGGCGCGCAACCGGAGGCGGAGAA